TCGGGTACGCTAGTATATATATATATATATATATATATATATATATATATATATATATATATATATATATATATATATATATATATATATATATATATATATATATATATATATATATATATATATATATATGTGTGTGTGTGTGTGTTTGCCTGTTTGTACTTTATGCATTACTACACCTCTCATCACATCGCCGTGAAAATTTGGGAAGTTGTTATAAATATTCCTGGGGAGGTTTCTGCGAAAAAAAAATTCAAATTCGCAAGGGCGGCGCCAGGGAGGGTGCGATTTTTCTCAATATACGGTATATAAAAATAATAAAAGTGATCTGCAGTGACACCATTTTTACGATCGCCATGAAACTTTGGTAAGATGTTGAGAATACTCATGGGAAGGTTGTTGCGCAAAAAACATTTTCAAATTCGTAGGGGTGGCGCCCTCGTAGGGCGCGATTTGTTTTTTCTCTATATACGGTATATAAAAATAAAAGTCGGTTTTGATTTGACACCGTTCATCCGATAGGCATGATATTTTGGGCAGTTCATTATAACACTCTAGGGAAGGTTTCTGTAAAAAAATCATTTTTAATTTCGCAAGGGCGGCGCCACGGGAGGGTCCGATTTTTCTCTATATACGGTATATAAAAATAAAAGTCGATTTTGGTGTGACACCGTTATCCGATAGCCATGAGACTTTGGGGGAGTTGATTAGAACAATTCAGGGAAGGGTCCTGTAAAAAAATCATTTTTAATTTCGCAAGGGCGGCGCCACAGGAGGGTCCGATTTTTCTCTATATACGGTTTATAAAAATAAAAGTCGATTTTGGTGTGACACCGTTATCCGATAGCCATGAGACTTTGGGGAAGTTGATTAGAACAATTCAGGGAAGGGTCCTGTAAAAAAAAAATCCTTTTTTAATTTCGCAAGGGCGGCGCCACGGGAGGGTGCGATTTTTCTCTACATACGGTTTATAAAAATAAAAGTCTATTTCGGTTTCACAACATTCATCCGTGTACCATGAAGCTTTGGGGAGATGATTAGATCACTCAATGGTAGGGTTCTGCAAAAAAATATTATTTAATATTGCAAGAGCGGCGCCCCCCGGGGGGGGGGCGATTTTTTTCTCTATACACGGTATATAAAAAATAAAACTCGGATGCGGTTCATCCGAGTGCCATGAAACTTTAAGGAGTAGATGAGAATACTCTCGAGAATATTTCTGCGAAAAAGAAAACTAAAGTTTCTTATGGGCAGCGCCATATAGGGTACAACTTTCGTCAATACACGGTTTGGAGCCCAGAGTTTTAGAGCGACCATGTTGGCACTTGGCATCCGTTAATCGAGCGTCCTGCATAGCGAGTAAGGGGTACTACTATATTCAGCGGTAAAACTACAACAGGCTTCTAAAAATAACTTTGTAACGCGAGGAAATCCTTCTGTACAGTTTCGTCACCTTGCCAAAGATGAACAAATAACAGCCTACTGTAGAGTTTCGTCACTTTGCGAATGATGCAATAAGCATCTATTATTAGACAATCCAGTCAGAAATTGAGATCGAACATCTAATAATAGACCATTAGTAACGCTAGCATATTGATGTATAAAACACGTCAAATACTTTTTTTTACGTGTGAAAGAAAAAAATCCTGTTCATTCGTGTCCCTTTAGCGAATGACGAAATCAGCATCATTATTAACAGGATGCTATTTGGCACGATGGCGCCTTTTAGTTTTAAGGAGCCAGGGGTCGTACGCCGCGCCTATGCGGTAGTGTAATCGGGGGGTGGGGGCCCTGTGAGCGCCCCTCTACGTCTCTGACACATGGGCGGTTACCGAAGTGTGTTCTACCATATTATTTCGGTGAGTGATTAATGTACATTCAATGTTTTCATGCGGTAGTGTAGGTAAACCCGTGTCCCGATATTTATGATCTAAGCGCAGGCATTGTTTATATTTAAATAACTCACTTTTAGAAAAGACGGTTACGCGTTTTAGAACATATGATTGGTAACGCGTTGCTGAAATCCTTCTAATACATTTCGTCAAACTTACTTCTATCCCCGCGGCAACGCGCGGGGGACGGGTACGCTAGTATATATATATATATATATATATATATATATATATATATATATATATATATATATATATATATATATATATATATATATATATATATATATATATATATATAATATGCGTGTCTGTGTCTGTGTATGTGTCGGCCTATAATACCCTGCCCTTTTGCTGTAATTGTTAATTTGTAGTTGAAAGAATCACTAATGTATCTGACAAAAACTTATTTTTCTTCTGTACTTTTTGCAATTTTTTGCTTTGGTGTCACTCATCCCCCTAAATGGTGTCAAGTTTATTTAAAGGCTACTTCTCTCTATAAATCAACTACCAGTTAAAGTAGAGATCCTCCAGAGAAAATGGAAATGGATTGGCCACACACTCATGAAGCGTGTATCCAGCATAACAAGACAGGCCCTCACGTGGAATCTACAAGGCAGGAGGAGGAGAGACAGACCAAGAAAGACCTGGAGACGTGACCTGGAAGAAGACACCAAGAAGATTGGATACACCTGGGGACAGTTGGAGAGACTAGCCCAGGACAGAGACGTCTGGAAAGCTCTTGTCAGCAGTGGCGGATTAAGGGGGGTGCTGAAAGGGCTGCAGCCAGGGGCCCCCGAATTTTAGGGGCCCCCAAATTTTGATTTCTCAACTATAGCAAATATTACTTTATCATTGATTTTTAATAGCTTAGTTAAATTATTTTTTAATGTCAGAAATATGAGTTAAAATATCACCAAGTATTAACAACAAGCATCACTTAAATAATAGCTTAATCAGTGAATGTGCCGAGAGAAGCGAGATCCATCAGATACTCTCTGATCTTTAATGTTTAATTTTGCATTATTTAACCTGACATCGTTAGTTTAGGCCTACCGATAGAAAATGTTTTGAAAACCATTTAAAAACGCATAGTGTCGAGGCTGAGGGAGGGTGGGGGTGGGGGGGGGTATTTGTATGAGGGGATAGTTTGCGTATTGTCATAGCGTATATAGATAAAAATAAAACAAGACTGGTAGAGAATAATAAGGACGAAATTTGACGGTAGACTATTTGTTTCAAGAGTTTGTGTTACATGGGTGTTACATTTGGGAAAAAAAAAACGTCCCAGTTGTAGGGAGGGTCTGACATAGCGAGGTGGATAGTTAGACACGGACCGATTTAGAAGTTTTTTTTAAGTATTGACCTTTTGACCGAGTGGCTTAGAGATTTTAAAAATGCGAAACATTTCTTGTTCAAGGCACACTCTCACCCGTATTAATTGCACTATAGGAATTGCCAAACAGGCCAAGAGAGAAGAAGCCTATAAATAAAGGCGTTACCGCTGTCCCGCACGGTAATACAAAATCAGATGAGACTATTGCAGGGCATGGCATCTACCCCCCCCCCCCCCCACACCCGACATGTCCCCCAACTGTCTCCCCGCCCCGAAGTTTCACCCATTAAAACATTTGAGTTGTGAATTCCTTGGAATTTAGCCGTAGTCAATGTTTTCGCCTTGATAAGTAAAATTTTTTTAAGGGGGGAGGCTCCGCAAAAAAAAAAACTTTTTTTTAAATACTCGTTAGATTAGAAAACAGTTATTTCTTCACAGCTTTATTAAAATACATCCACAAATGCATTTCCACTAAAAAAAATGGTGGAAAAATCTTGGTAACTATAAAAACGGCGGCCATCTTGAAAAATTAACCCCCTCGTAGGTTTTCCACCATTCATAAAATATTATATTTTATGCCCAATATATAATGAATTCATAATCTTCTTCCATATTTTGGGGTACTCAGCTAAAACTTTTAAGTGTATATCTTCAAAATAATTTATTATTAATAGATTCAAGTGCATTCAGAGCTTTCCAAATGTGCACATTGCTCTTCGAATTTATCTGTGTATGATGACGTCTAACTGCAGCGCTCATTTTCCAAAATGAAAAAATTAAAAGCGATCTTAGAAGCACTATGGGACAGCAGAGACTTAGTATGCTCTCACTTATGAGCATAGAAATGAAATGGTAAGCTAACAGATATAATAGAAGAGTTTGCTATCAGGAAAGCTCGAAAATGTTCCCTATATAAGTTACTTGGTCTTTAGTTCTAAGTAAAAAGTAATGTAATAAATGTATGTATTCATAATTTATTTTGCATTAGTAAATAAATAATTGTTACTTTAAATGCTCTTTTGTCTCAATGTATTTTAACATTTCATTAAATGTAACATTTTTTGTCTAAGCCATGGCTTCTGTTAACCTTTACTTTATTCCATTCGACCTGTATTTCTGGGAAGGCCTCTGTTTTGTATTGTCATTATATAAACTACATGTATATATATATATATATATATATATATATATATATATATATATATATATATATATATAGTTAAGGGGGGCCCCGGAAAAAGTTTCAGCCAGGGGCCCCGCTGAAGCTTAATCCGCCCCTGCTTGTCAGTGGCCTATGTCCCAGTAGGGACGTCAGGCAAACTTAACCTAACTTCTCTCTATGGTTTGCCCGACAATGCAATTACGCATGTAGTGTTACTTAGTTAATACGGATGGGCTCTGTTCTACCCCCACCACCACTGAATACCACTGTCTGTACAGTAAGAAAGGACCGGGGTGGGCTTTTTTGGAATTTTTAATTATTTCTACAATATGAAAGAAACTGGATTTCCATTTTCTTTTTTAAATAGTTAAATAAAACATTTATTAAAGTTCCGATGTCAAAGTTTTATTTTGTTAAGAAGGGAAAGGCCTCTATTTTCCTTGAGCTCCTATGCCCTACTCACATTATTTTTACGCTTGCTACGCCGCTGATAAAACCTGCTTGGTGATGGTATAATATTATAAGTTTATTTTCATTTTGATCAAGGTAACTTGCGAAACAATATTAAAAATGCGAATACGAAATGTTCTCGTATGAGCATGCGTAAAGACCCTATGAAATATATGTTGCAACATGGCGGATAACAAAATTTTAACTGATTCTGAATTAGTGACTGCATTGGAAAGTTTTGGTGAAAAAGTACAGCTGCCTATTAAAGCAAATAGGCGTCCAATTCTTATTAAAAAATTAAATCATCTTAGAGCCAGAGTCAAGCCAAATACAACTCCATCTTTCAAAAACAAGATTAAACAAAACTCGCCATCAACAGTACCACCGGTGTCACCTCGTTCGACAAATTCGATTGTAAACAACCAACACTCACTTAACACATCATTTGCAACTGCTCCAAGAACATCTCGTTCGTATGGCTTAGAAACAAGATCTGGACCATCAAATCTTGAAGCTTTGAGCTCAGATGATAGTGATACTGATTATGCACACAACTATTCAGTAGGTCAAACAGCTAGCGCAACAAATCACACCCGAGACAAAAGTCGATTATCAACAAATGTGTCTGACAATGTTCTCAGAACATTAAGACGAAGAACTGCTGAATTACCCCCAAAACGCACTCGAAAAGTTGAGGTCCATGAACAAAGCAGTGACAGTACAGGTGGCTTGGGTAATAGCTCTATGGGCAGTGATGAAGAAATTCCTGTTCCATCCCCTGCAAGATCAAGACTTTATCCCAATTTACGACAAGCTACATCTTTCCTTTCAAAATCAGATGATGAAAAAGAAAAGTTTGAATCATCAGATTCTGATCTTGAAGGAAGTACCTATATGGTTGAAAATAAGTCAGTAAACACATCTTTCAGTGATGTTCACCTACGGAAAAACCCTGATAATGATAAGCTCTCATCAAGTCTTGGCCACAAATTCAACTCTTCAACAAGCTCATCAATAACTCCATTAAATAGTTCACAATTTCTCCAACAAACAGCATGCCCAACCAGACGATGTGCTAGTGGGCCTCTTAGAGTACAACAGTATAAGTCAAAGTATTTGGAAAATTTGCCCCACATTTTAGTCGCAATCGTGATTTTATTTTTTGTTGTATTGTCAGTCACCTATGCTGTGATACACAAAGATTATTTTTTCTCATGGTTTTCCACAGTAAATAATATAGGTAAGAATATCTACAGCTGTTTGAATTCACACTTTTCAGAAATGTTTATCCATTGCAGAACATGGTTAAAATTTGGATAACCTAATGTAAAATTATAAATCCAGTGTTCATAACGCCTAATCAATGGTAGTGTTTTTCCTACTGTTGTCTCAACAATGCCTAACTCTAACTAATAACTAATAAGGTTTGCTGTTGAGAAGCCAGGGTAAGATAGAGTTAGCTTTGACGTTTATACTTGTATTTAGGCCTACTATATAACTTGTAATAAAAAATATTTGGCCTATATATTAGTTAGCCTAATTAATAATAATAGCCAACAAAGTTTCCTTTTTTAGAAGATTTAAGCATGGCATTATTAGACACTGATGGGACTAAGGCAAAAAACTAACATTTTACTTTAATACTTAGGTAAACATTTTCAAAGAAAAAAATATTAGTATTAGCCTAATTCCTAATCATATGGTGATAAACAGATATTCTTTTAATTTAGGTCTACATTTTTACTTTCTCGTATACAAAGTATAGAGAAAGTATTGTAGTCATGAACATTCGAGATTTGCAACGTTTTACACCTGAGTGAACTGAGTATAACATAGTTTTGCAATCTTGTCTGTGTGTGTGTGTCTGTAAATATGATAACTTGAGTACCGTTACAGCTAGGTTGATGAAATTTCATATATAAGTATCATATCAAATTTTTAGATCCGTATTAACTTTTCAGTGATTTCCGATTAATCCGAAGTAGAACTTTTTCTACTTTGAATTTTTCAAAAGCCTATAACTTGAGAACTATTTCAGATAGATGAATGAAATTTCACATATAAGTAAAAGTTCTAATTCTCTGCCATCTATCAAATTTTGAGTAACTTCCATTGACCGGAAGTAGTAATTTAGGCTATTTCTGATTTCTCAAAAAATGCATGTGAATTTATAAAGTACTAATAATATTCTGCACTATTATACACATATTATTTAGCATTCACTTGATGCTCAATTCTTTTTTCTACGAGATTCTATTATGTTTTTAAAAGTTTAAGCAATTAAAAATCATGTCTATACTCCAAGTTGCTATCCCCGTAGTGTTATATAAGAATACTCGAGAAAGTTTAGGGTGGATCACTTCCCATTTTTTTTTTAATCTTTTATAGTCTTACTAACCAGTGCCATGATAATAATGCAAGACAGATTGTTCATCTCAAATGTAACTATCCTGCATTTTTGCAGAAATACGCTTTTTTCATTTGAAGATGTTTTCCAGCTTACTGGATTTTTCCAAAAAAATTTGGCCAAATTACTTTTTGAATTCTATTTCAATAAAAAATGTCCTTGAAATATTGTAGAAATCTGGAAAATTATGAGTTGGTTACATCTATTCTCAAAAAATATTCTTTAAATTTTGTAGAAATCTGGAAAAATATGAGTTGGTTACATCTATTCTCAAAAAATATTCTTTGAATATTGTAGAAATCTGGAAAATTATGAGTTGGTTACATCTATTCTCAAAAAATATTCTTTAAATATTGTAGAAATCTGGAAAAATATGAGTTGGTTACATCTATTCTCAAAAAATATTCTTTAAATATTGTAGAAATCTGGAAAATTATGAGTTGGTTACATCTATTCTCAAAAAATATTCTTTGAATATTGTAGAAATCTGGAAAATTATGAGTTGGTTACATCTATTCTCAAAAAATATTCTTGAAATATTGTAGAAATTTGGGAAAATATAAGTTGGTTACATCTATTCTCAAAAAATATTCTTGAAATATTGTAGAAATCTGGAAAAATATAAGTTGGTTACATCTATTCTCAGACAGGTAAAGCATAATTACCCCCATCTTAATTTTAATTTGTGAACACCAAAATAACTGCATTAGGACATTTTCCCTGTTGATTACTAATTCAGTAATTGACTCTAAACCAAATAGGAATATGCTATAGGGTTTATGTCACATTGCAGGGTCATTGATATTGACCCAAATGTCAAGTATGCAACTAATAGCTGCATTAGAAATGGGTGAATTTTTGTTAGTAAGTTTGCACCCATACATTATGATACATACATGACAAAACACACAACAAAAGTTTGCAAGAATATATTTACTAAGTGCATTTTTTGAATGAATAAACCAGCTCACTTTTAATAGGAGGAAAGATGTCAAAATTTAGATATTGTATTAGTAAACTGTCATGATTATTAAGTGAGTAATGAATGGTTTAGTTAGTAATGGCTCTGATTGCATCCACTCTGTTTGTCAAGGGAAATAAGTTCTAAAATATTCAAGTCTATATAATTTTAGCTAAGCCTTTTAATTATTGATGTTGATTTAAAAAGTATTTCATACATTTCTATTTAACTTTGAGAATTTTTTAAGTCTCAAGGGCAAAATTTAAAAACCATCAGTTTCCTTTGGGTTTAAATATAGATATAGAGGATAATTAGTAGATTTTGTTGCATTTTTTTGAGAAAGAATTGTAAAGATATAAATTTTTTTTCATATTTAAAATGATAGTTATTTTCCAGCAGATTGTTGGCAATTGTAATCCCTACTATAAGTAAGAGAACCTGACTGTAGATAAGTACCATTTAATTATAGCAGAATATCTTGGGAGTGTTTTAGCTTTTCTAACCACAGGGAAGAAAGAAAAGTCATTAACAGTTATTTTAGCTTCAATTAAGGCTGGTGCTAGGCCTGCTAGATTTATTAATAAACATAAATTGAATACAAAAATTTTCAAATAAATGTTGTAGATCTATTGTCTAGAACCAAATTAAATTGAACGAAATTGCAAAAACGTTCCGTAATTTCAAATTCGGCATCGTGTGGAATAGTAGGCATTGAATGTCACAGCAAGCTTTTCTTTCTGTGCTTTCTCAACGCTCTTGATAACATAGTTTTCTTAGGTGAATCATGCAAAACATAATCCACAAGGGTTGATCTGATAGGATTGCAGTTTGTGTTGCTGTTCATGTAGCAAGAGTATCATCCAGTCTTTGTTGTATTGCTAAAACAGCTTTTTTTGAAAAACTGTAGCTATACTCTCCAAGATAGTTTTGACTTGAATGGTCTAGATGACTTATTTATAAAAGATAAATAATCATACTTATATCATGCCACACTTTCTAAAATATTTACGCAAATTTTTATCTCTTGTTAAGTAAGTAAATCCTATTCATGAAACCCAGTTATGGGTGAAACACGTATGGCCAAAGCCCCAATTGTGTAAACACCTATGGTCAAAGCCCCTATAGTTAAAGGAATTGTGGTCAAAGCCCTTATGGTTAAAGCACCTGTGGTCAAAGCCCCTATGGTCTAAGTCCTACTGTGGTCAAAGCCACAACTATAATCAAAGCTCCATGTACCAAGGATAGGTACAGTTTAATCATAGCAGAATGTACACTTGATGTGTTTATAGCTTTATTAGTTTTAAACTGACTTAAAATTATACCAGCATATTGATATTATATAATGATACAATGCTAAATTTTGTTTTAATTTTTTAAAATTGATAAAATGAGTTGTGTATTTGGATGTTTTGTGTTCATTTTTTCTTTTTTTAATCACTTAACTTTTAAGGTAAAACTGACACAATATTAAGCTGTAAAGATGCAACACCAGGAATTGAGGTAATTATTTCTTCCTCATTCTTTCTGTCATTTTGTGTTCCTGATTGTATGTTTGAGATAAGATGTCAACAAAGAATAATTTACAATTACAGAACTGTTATCAACATGAGGAAGTGGAGAGTAGTCTTGAAATAATTAAGGATTTGTTTTCTCAACTAAGCATCAAGAAAGGTACTCGAGTATTAAAGTTAATTTACAAATTGTATTTTGAGAAAACAATGAAAGAAAACTTTCTTTAAAAAAAACCTAGCCTTGCACAAAATAATCATCCGAAATGAACAGTTACATAACTATCTAAAAAAAAATGTTTGCTGATCTGATACATAGATAACACCTGGTGAATGTTATCTTAAAAATATTCTTTGTTTAACCTTTGCATATTTTTTTCTATAGGCAATGCTCTGTGTGATATTGAAAAGTCTGGTGATGAAGATCTGAGTATTTTGTCATTTCACAGCAATATCTTAAAGAAAAATCAGAAAAATGTAAGTATGCAGCTTTTTAGAAGGTACATTCCTAATTTGAGATGAAATTATGTTGTCCTTTTATATAGTATGAGTATTGGTTTTTAACTTGTATTTTAACTCAAAATATACCTCAGAAATTGACTTATAAAATGAAAAGCCTTATTGTATTAGCTAGATGTTTAATCTAAAAATTTTCAAAGCAAGCTAACTGAAAGCTAACATCTATTTTATGAAGATTTTTTTACTGCTAATTTGGCATGCTTTGATTCTTCCATTTTTAGGTGCTCCCTGTACTAATTCCCTCTGCTTTTCATTTGATTTCTGAACCATTAATTAAATTTAAATACTTTCAAAGGGTGGCTATTTCTAACTCACTCCTCTTGGTAACACTAGTTGCTGATTTCTTGCTTAAGACAACTGGCTGAAATGTGTTGCTTTGTTTGGGGAAAAAATAATAAAAAGCTGTCACCATCTTTCATGTTATGTGATATACTATAGTTAGCTTATGTGAACTCACAAAGACCCATTGAACTATGATGCTAGCAATTTAAAATGAGACAAAGGCTATTCTAAAAGCTTTTGCTGTCTTTCTTTCAGCAAAACTCACTGTTAAAGAGTGCTTAATTGCAATACATTGGAGCTGCAAAAAATATGTAGTGTGTCTGTTTCATAGTCACAGGCTTGCAATCAAATAAATATTCCTTAAGACACTCTGCTTAAGTGTGACAATGTACATATTCCTTCCTCCCCACGATTAGATTAATTAAAGTTTTAGAAACTATTTGTAAAAAGTATTTAAATTTATTGAAGAAAATAAACATGAATAACAGATAAATTATATATTTACTATTCATTTGTTTTTATTTCAATATTTTGCCCAGGCTGGACAAAGAATCTATGACTGCTGCTTGGATCACATCTTGGCTAATGCTCATTGGAATATTCTGTAAGTTTTGTTATTTCTGGGGCTTCTCAGACTCAGTTATGGGCCATGTGTACAGCTAGTGTTAAGGTCTGGGCCATGTGTACAGCTAGTGTTAAAGGTTTAGGCCATGTGTACAGCTAGTGTTAAGGTTTAGGCCATGTGTACAGCTAGTGTTAAAGGTTTAGGCCATGTGTACAGCTAAAATGTTAAAGGTTTAGGCCATGTGTACAGCTAGTGTTAAAGGTTTAGGCCATGTGTACAGCTAGTGTTAAAGGTTTAGGCCATGTGTACAGCTAATGTTAAGGGTTTAGGCCATGTGTACAGCTAGTGTTAAAGGTTTAGGCCATGTGTACAGCTAATGTTAAAGGTTTAGGCCATGTGTACAGCTAGTGTTAAGGTCTGGGCCATGTGTACAGCTAGTGTTAAAGGTTTAGGCCATGTGTACAGCTAGTGTTAACCCCTTAATGCCTGAATTATGTTCCAAGTGGGTAAAAAAATTATTTTTTATGCTAATTACGGTATGTTGCGTTTCTCTAAATGCACAAAACAATAGAATATCACAAACTAAACATATGGACATGCAGGGAGATGTAGACTCACTTGTAAAATTCATGAAAACTATAGTTAAGTAGCTCTGGCATAGAGTTACATAACTCTGCTCACTGTCTAACTCTTATGAATGGGTATTTTGAAGCATGGCTATTGTGGATCTACTACACTACAGTAACACACTACATATTATGAAAGGACTTTCTTTAATGTGTATAGCCTTAGTTGTGCCTGGGTACGCCCTTTTCGTGAACTCTTATTCAAGGTCAAATAATAAAGATGGATATTTCTCATTCAACCTATATTTGCTATACACACAATGCACGTGAAACAAATACTTTCAAATAATGACAGAGTTCAGCCGTTGTATAGTTGTCCATGCTCAATGCAGCATGCTTGGTACTTAGTGTCACTGTAGATAATGACACCAATGACAATGCTGTAGTTACATATTGCCACTGGGTACTCAGTATCACTGCTGTGGGTACTCAGTATCACTGCTGTGAGTACTTTGTGCTGAATCTGTGTGCACAGTGCTAAAGATGTGGGTACTCAATAACACTGCTGTTGGTACTAAATGCCAATATAATGCCACTGATGTGGGTATTCAATAGCACTGCAATGGGTATTTTGTCAGTATTCAACATTACTGTATTTATTACGAGATGTAAGTCTATGCTCAGTGTTATTATTGTCAAGGTCACTGTGAAGACCTTTCTTTGGTGGTATCCAGGATAGTGGTCCACCACCTCACATACTGTTGTCTATTTATTTTTTATGTTCTCCTAATATTTTACAATACTATTTCAAAGCTAAATTTGTTATATTGTACCCAGCAGCATGATCAAATTATTCCAACATCGCTCTCTCTCTATATGCCAAGATCAATGAAACAGGTGAACTCTACTTCACCTACCACATGGACCATAACATTTTGAAGTGTACTTATATATAGGCGAAAACTATATTGTAAATCCTTCACTTATTTATAATCATACTTGAAGAAATGAAAGCTTGGCGAGGCATCTTATTTTACTATACCTGCTTGGCACCTGAGTACAATTTTATGTCTTTTTGCCAGATGTCACGTTTTTGCGACAAACCTTAATCAGAAGATGACTGCTTAAATTATTCTCATATGTGATTTATACGGTTTAAATACATAAAAGAGTGAATAATAAAGCTATTAGTATTTTTTGTAGTAAAAACGGACTACCTGTTTAGTAATAATAATCAATGTAAGTAAGCTGAATTAAAGTCAAAAAAATTACGATGCGTGACAGTCAAGAGAGTGTGACGTCATACATTTTGACTTGACAACGTGACCATTGGTACCGATAGGAACGTCTGGATGTACCCAATACGCAACAGCTAGCAGCAGTAGGATAAATGTACATATGCGCATATGCTAAGCGCAAAATTGGTATTACGCTTTATCACAGCAGTCTGGGTAAGGGGTTAAAGGTTTAGGCCATGTGTATAGCTAGTGTTAAAGGTGAGTATTAGGTAGGATGGCTACAATGTTAGAAGATTAAGCTGACCTGGTTTTTCAAGATGTTATTAATGCACACTTGAGGAATTAGGGCACAAAAAAACCTAATAAATGTATTATTTTCAGACCTTTAAAAGAAGATGGGACTATTGCCACAACAAAGGAAGAGGTTTTTAAACTTCAGTCGGGTGTTGCTGATATGTCACTGTGGTGTCGACTGCACCGATCTTTGACTACAGTCTTGTTTGGACTAGCTTTTGTTGTTGTTGGTTAGTCTAATTACATATATTTTCAATATGGGATAGCTTTCTTTCACTTTGTCTGACTTTCTGGGTTTCATTGATTTTATTTTATGCTCTTTGGGTAATTAAAACACCTCCCCCACCCCACCCCCGCAGTTTGTTAAATTCCACTTTTTTCTTGGTTTTGCAGTTACCTCTATGAAGACCCTAAAAGTTTTCATGATTGAAAGATTATACCTTTAAAATTATATGACTCACTCATTTGTTTGAGCTCAAAACAAACAGATATCAGAACCAATTTCTCTCAAGCATGTAAAATAATTCAGAGATGTGCATTGTCCATTTTATTACATTTAAGAGCTGCAATTTCCTCAGCTTATCTCATATTTTCAGAATTTTACCGCTGATTTTCAATTTTTGCCCATTTTGCATGACGTTTTTAAGATTCTGAAAAAAATCTAAATGACCTTCATGTAAACAGCAAAAATGTTTATTCCACACATTTTGTCCAAGATTTGGAATTTTTGACTTCTAATCTGAATTTTCCGCTGAAATTTTCAGTTAAACCTATTTTTACAACAACAAAAAAATAGAGAAAAAAGTTATCTAAAATCTAGTACATATTGAGCCTGGTTTCTTAACCATTAATTTTGCATGTGTTAGTTTACCTACCTAATGGTATTTCAATAAAGCTACCCCATCTACCATTTCTCCGTACTTTCTATTTTATTTCCCATCCCGTCATCATCATTTTTAAATCGTTGCTAAATTTGAGTATAAGAACTAGACTAATTCTCTCTCAACTACAATTTTCTCACAAAGGTTACAATTTTTGCCTTTAGTAAAGATCTAAATAGATGTTAGTGGTGTTTTTTTTTTTTTGTAGTTGTTGTTACTGATAGTTCCTAGTTTTATATTTAGTAAGTTACAATTTCAGCTGTTATCTGATTTTATACTTTCAATTATCTTCCGTAACAATCCACCTCTGCCATGTCTTCCCCCCAATGTCATGACAGGTGGTATTTGTTAGGTCTATGCTGTGAACTTTAATGACCCTGTGGCCATTGATGAATATTATGCATCTTAAACATTTAAAGTCTGGTCGTGCATACAAATATTTCTATTAAAATTAATACTACATCTATTCTTTTTTTTTCAAGAAAAACAGTCTGAGGTTTAAATCTATATATATAAAAGTGAAAGTGTGTGCGTTCTTTAAGCATTACTATACCTTTCAGTACTTTGCCATTCAACTTTGGGGAATTGCTGAGCATGCTTCTGTAAAGGTTTGTTTAAGGGGGGGGGGGGAAATTTTAAGTTCTGCCTTCAAGGGCTCAAAAAAAAAACCCTAACCATAAACCCAGAATAAAAATAAGGAATATTTTTGAATATTCAGAGGAATTAACCAGGCTTAGTTTCTTTTTTCTAAAATTATGAACGTAGTTTCCTTTTGTGCAAACAAATTCTATCCCAAACACTGAGTGGGATGGACCTACCTTTCTAAAAAAATAAATCTTGCGCTTCGTCAGAGAAAAAGTTACTTTTCTGAAAATAGTGATTGGCAGTCTATTTGTGCATATAAAAACGAAGTTATGTCTGTTTGTCTGTGTCTTTTATGCAATACTCAGCCTTTGGGAAAGTTGTTGAGAATAGGCCTACTCCTTAGGAGGTTTCTGCACACAAAAAATTCAATTTGGAAGGGGTGGCGTCCCAGTCTCCTCTGTGAGTTCTACATTTATTTTAAATAACACAACAGGGAAATAGGCATATGCTATTCAATGGTTAAGCCAAACCAGGTGCAGTATCCAGTCTCCCCTGTGTAACCAGTGGTTCTCTAGAGCACGCAATGGGGTGTCTGTGCTGTAACGTGGACAAACCAGCACCATAACAACTCAGATCCAAGAAATATAGTGCCTGCTTTCTTTACATTTAAATAGTTTAGTTTTAGAAAAGAACATAACTTCTAAAAACACACAAAAGGTAACACATAGCTGTAATCCTCTTAAAGTTATTGCATCAGCCCACAGCAGCATGTGGGACTGGATCGCTAGTCATAAAATAATAAACTATGCGAATGTATTTATTAATGAAATTATCTGGGTGTGGGTAAAATGTGAGACACAAAAAGGCAAGACTTTACCTGCTGAATTACAGGTAAATAGTAAGACACAATTAGTAAGGCATTTTTTATTTTAGATGTTTGAGAAGAAAAGTTTGTTACTAAACTAGGCCCATCCAGTTCAATCACAAGTGTGTGGGTTGTTTTTTTTAAATATCTTTTCTTGGCAGTTTTAAAAAAAAAAATAAACTTGGGGGACGGCAACTCAAGATATGGACATGATTTTTAGTCCATTACTTAAACTTTTTAAAATGGAATGGAATCTTGTAGAGAAAAAGAATTGCGCACCAAGTGAAAGTCAAACAACGTGTGTATAATAGTTCGGAATATCAGTACTTTATAAATTCATATGCATTTTTTGAGAAATCGGAAATAGCGTAAAGTACTACTTCCGGTCAATGGAAATACTCAAATTTTGAGGGAAGGGAGAGAATTAGATCTGTTACTTAGATGTGAAATTTCATATCCGAAACAGTAGCCTTCTTAAGTTAAAGGCTTTTGAAAAACCAAAAGTGGTATTAGTTCCACTTCCAGGTACCAGAATTGCTGAAAAGTTGATACAGAACTACAAATTTGATATAATACTTATATATGAAATTTCAACAACCTAGCTGAAAGGTTACTCAAGTTTTCATGTTCACAGACATACATACATACACACAAACATACGGACAAAATTGCAAAACTATGTTTCTCCGACTCAGATTTTTTGCATGATTACAGTATTTCCTCTATACCTGGTATATGAGAAAGTAAAAAGAAAGTGTAAAGTAACTATGTTTTTTCTGACTTTCTCGATTTTGATTTTTTGCACTTTTGTATACGAGAAAGTAAAAAAATTATTTAAGAAATATGGAAATTATAAACATCTTCACCCATCTGATTGTCTGCTCATGCTTTCTAGCGAGCAGGAGAAAAATCCTGACATTGTCGAGGGGTTACTGTGAGTTCACATTGGTCTAGATATCCAGTCCAGGTCATTTGTAGATTAGGTTAAAATAGTCTCTTCTTCTTCTTCTTCATTCTTAATTATTAGTGTTGAAGGGGATCGAGATTTATCTGCCAGTGCGTTTGAACTCGAGACTTGGTTCGAATTTATCAACCATGAGCTTTTTGCCGACTCGACCACGCCTCCAACACAATTAAGCGTTACGTGTCAACTGGTTATGCGCCATTGAGGCCATTGACTCCGATTTCAGCCTGCTTTTCTTAAAATAGTCACAAATGTAGGGGTTAATGTTAATGGTTTGTTACCCCAAAGTCGAATGCGGGTATAAAAGCGGGAGTGAACGATTGATAAGGGACTTTTTGGTAGAGATTATCCAATTGGACAGCACTGTATAATGTGTGAAAATGAGAACAAATAAAGTACTTAGCATTGCCTTGGATCGTGGTTTGTATTGAATGAAAGCTGGTTGCAACAGTAGGCCTAGAACATACATAAACAATTCCTATTTGAGATTGTTGCCGTACTTTCTGAATTTTTTGTGGCATTTTTTAAACAATCGAACTAAGCTCTAGATGGATTTATGTTCAAATTGTAATTCATGTATTTCTTTAAAATAACTGATATGGGCAACCCAATCATCATCATTAAACTGATAAGTTTTGGGCTATAAAATTTGTCTTATAAAAAAAAACATTAAAAAGTATTGATAGTTAGGGACAGTACCCAAACATTACAAACTATTCTCATATTACTGAATATTTTTTTGGGGTAGGGTTAGGGTAAACAGCCCTGGTGTAACATTATAAGTTTGCTTGCAGCAGTCTTTCTCTATCAGACAGTAATTTTTAGCACACTACCAGGTTGGGCCTGATTCAATTTAGTGAACGATTATAGTAACCCATCGTATCCATAGTGTATCGCACTCTTTAAAATGAACGTAGGTGCCATAGTGATCTTGGGAAAACCTGGGGCACTGCCCCTCTGAAATTAAAACTTTTTCCACAAAAACCATCCAGCATTTTCAACAACTTCCCAGAGTTTCATGCTCATCAGAAATAAGGTTTAGTAATACATTTAAAGACAAACCCACAAACATACTTTAAATTTTATATTCATATATAGTTTTCATTCAAACATACATGTTAATGCAGAGAAAAAATATTGATCATGGTGTGAAAGATATAATAATATCATTAAAATTAACCGTTAATACTATAATTAAAATTAGCCGTTAATACTATAATTAAAATTAGCCGTTAATACTATAATTAAAATTAGCCTTTAAAAATTAAGTACAAAAATGTGTTTATCAAGGATAAAAATTAGTCAAGTAACACTTATGTATTATAAGTCTTTCAAATGGAATATTAAGTGTTTGTTAATTTACTTTCAGGAATAGGATGTATTCTGCTAATGTCTGCATTTATTCGGTATAGAAAGAAACAAAAAGATAAGGAGCAGGAAGAGATCCATGCTATGGTGGAAAAAATAATTGGTAGGTTGAGATGTAGCAGTGTAATGCTCAAAGTAGACACATGTGCAATGTAACACAAAGTTACCCTCAAAGTAGGCACATGTAACACAAAGTTACCCTCAAAGTAACACATGTAACACAAAGTTACCCTCAAAGTAACACATGTAATAAACTTTTACTCTCAAAGTAGACAGATCCAAAAACTAATAATTGTGTTGAGTATTTTCTGCAGCTTTAAATACTTAAGTTCTTGAAACAATGATATCTTTTTTTCTCTTACACTGTTGTTTATGGATAGACAAGTATCAGATCAAACAAATTGTTAAACACAGATGTTAAACATCAACACTAATTTTCCAACCCACACTTAAGGCTGCAACAAGAAGTACTAACCACATATGGCTTGTATAAAGCAAATTATCAGATGTGTTAAAAGATTAGTATATTGTCAATAGATGTGTTAAAAGATTAGTATATTGTCAATAGATGTGTTAAAAGATGTGTATATTGTCAACAGATATGTTAAAAGATTTGTATATTGTCAACAGATATGTTAAAAGATTTGTATATTGTCAACAGATATGTTAAAAGAACACAATGAACAAGCAAGGAATGATGTTGATGGTCCACCATTTTTGGTTGTCCAACATGTTAGAGATGAGTTGCTTCCTGTGTCTGTTAGGTAAAATGTGTACTATCATTGTTTCTTTCCTTATGCAGACATGCCTACCATCTTGCCAATAGGGTAGGATTAAATCAAACAAAAATAACTCATTTTAAACTTTCTTGTATATGAAGTATATTGTAATAGTGCAAAAAATCTCGATTTTCACTTATCTTGACAATTTACACATCCCTGAGTCAGAAAAACTTAGTCTTGCTATTTTGTCTGCTTGTCTGTAAACATTTCTATATAAGAAAATTGTAGAAAGTTTAAGGGAGATTACTCCTGGTTTATTTAAAATTGAGTTGTTTAAATATAAAGAAAGCTGTGCTAAATTTTTTGGATGTTGGAGCATGGGTTTACTCACACTACCATCCAGTGAATTAATTCCCCTCTAGAATGGTTAGATAAAACTGTGGCCAGCCAGGGGCATCACTATCATGAGCAACAGGTTGTATTGCTACATGGGGCATGAGTTATTGTAGTAGCCCACTGTGTCCCTAGTTTAGGGTGCACTTTATAACAAATATTGGCGCATGGGGCAGAGTACAAGCCCTGCTTAGGTTTAGTTAGTGTAGTAGCCCACTGTGTCCCTAGTTTAGGGTGCACTTTATAACAAATATTGGCGCATAGTTTTCATAAGGGAGGTGAGGGTTAGGCTCACAGTCAATATCTGATGAGTATAATTTATTCTAGTTTAATTATTTATATGCAGCTTCACTAAGTCGTATCAGCATGTATGTTTCTCATTTTCTGTTCCATTTCCTCTTTTTATGTACAAATGTGACTATTTTAGGTCATTTCAAAACACAAAGCCATTTTGTTTTTAAGTTAAAATGATCACATTTAATACACTCATCACTTGTGTTTATTTTTTTTTAAATGTATTAGCTAAACAACTAAAAAACAATAAATAGCTTTGATTGCTGTTTTTTCCCAATATGATTTCAAATTTTCTTCAAAAACATGATGGGTGGAGGAATAATCAATGATATTTTTTATTCAATTGCGTGCATATTCATTATTCATTCTCTAAAGTCAAAGTGAAAACTTATTGGACAGGTAATTATAGCATGTTTTGTTTGTGTTGGCAGAGTCCAGAGAAAGGCAATTTGGGACAAAGCAGTTGAGTACATTGATGCTAATGAGTCGAGGGTACAGCTGGGAACAACCATGTTAAACGGTGAAGAATTTTCTGTTTGGTACTGGATACAGGTCAGTGGCAAGTTAGAAACCTAGCTATGATTTCGCTCTTGATTTTCATCAATAAGACATTTTCTTTATGTCCAGACAGATCAAATACCCCACAAACTTATATTAAGTAATTCCGATACAGAAAGTATTTTAACTTCTGCTAAAGTACAATAATATTTGTAGTACTCTACATAGTGATTTGATATGGGAAAAAAATTGAATGATTTGATGTTTGACATTTCAGCCTTCTTTGCATAATGGTAAAATTTGGCAGGGTCAAGGTAAGAGTATAGGATGTGAATGTGTTATTCAGCTTTTGCTTAGTTTGAAAAAATATTATTGATTTTTTTTACACATATTCCTATCTAATTTTTCTATATTTTCTTTTGACCAGCTTTTGGGGAGAAAAATGACTCCAATCAAGTTATTTACAGCCCAACGCCCTGTCTTAAAATTAGAAACATGTTTGACACTAATGTGTAAGTCCAACTTTTTACTATTTATTCCTTTTTTTGGTTCTATATAGATCTTGATTGTTTAAAATTAAACGGGTTCTCTTTCTCATACATGCATAAATGGTTTAGATTGGTGGCAGTTGTTACTCAAGATGTGAGGGGTAATTTTTAGTTTATATATTGCAAACTCCTGATTAATTATTCAAAATTCTAAGTAAGAAAATGGCATATTTCTTTAACAAGAAGCCTACAGCCAAAAGAGATCCTGCTTTACTATGTCATACAATAACAACAGAGGCGTATCCAGGTTTTTGGTGTAGGGGGAGCGAAAATAGCAAAATGACACGAATTGGTAATATGTTCTGTATTCGTGTATATACATACATATATATATAATATATAGGGCGTAGTCTGTTTTTGGCATCCTCGTACAGTTTAATTTATAATAGCATTGTCTATTTTAAAAATTGGAATTCATAAGATGCGTAAATGCAGATATTTTTATTGCTTATTCAGTTTTACATAATGGTCTTCATGTAAAATTTAAAAAAGAAACAACAATAATTTACAATGGCGTATGTAAACACGTTTGATAACAATTTTATGCTGTTTTATGTTGTACTCTAGAACTTTTGTTAGTACTACAACATGCTTTTTCGTCGAAGTTTTATTTTAGCAAAATGATCAAATACATCTTTTAAATCAACTTTAGAAACTAATTGCCGTTCAATCGTAATCAGGGCTAAGCTGGACAACCTGTCTTCTGTCATAGTAGAACGGATGTATGTTTTCAGGAGTTTAAGATGGCTGAAGGATCTTTCTGCTCCGGCACTGCTTATTGATGGCAAAGTCAAAAATATAAGACACAACTAGACAGGTTTGGATACATGGAACACAAGTCATTAGCCATAAAGGAGTTCAGAATGCTGTTTACTGTCACAGCTATTTCTAGAGGTTCTTTTCAGTTGAAACTCCCTTGTTTACACTGCTTACACTAAAAACTTGTTGGTAAAATGTTCTAAATGATACGAATTCCTGCACTACTTCAGTTCCACTTTCAACATTATACGAGTACGTCACTGCTAATTGCTCCAAATGTATCAAACTGTCAACTGATGCAAAATGTTTTGGTTCTAAGCAACAAAGCTTTGATGACACATCCTTTCTAGAAGTCCATCTTGTATCACTAAGTCGTTTCAGTTAATGAAAATGATTCTATGTTGTTGCATTGCTCCTCTTTCAACATTAAATATTTCCAGAACTCCAAAAATAGCTGTGTTTGAATATTAGATGAAACAGCATCAATGAGAATTAAATTTAAATTTTGAGCACAGCAGTGTTTAAAGAGTGCATGTGGAGCTATTTCTCTAACTCGTTTTTGTAGGCCTGGTGTTTCACCAGACATGGTGTTTCCAGGGTCCGTAGCGGACCTTGAATCCTTGAAAAACCCTTGAATTTCCCCAAAAATGAGCAAAAACCCTTGAATTTTATAGGTAAACCTTGAAAACCGTGCGTAAATCGAATTTTTTAAAAAAAATTCAATTCTGATGGATCTAAACTTTTTCTGCCTTTATTTATTTTTTGCCGTGGGTCTGCGTTAACTTCGGAGTCTATTTCCAACCCTCTCCTTCGCTGAGCCTCGCGGTTTTGCATAGGCTCTGCCTAACCTAGATTCTAGATCGTGACGTAGATAGCCGAGGGCTAAATTTAGCATCGTTTTTCGGGTATCTCCGTTTACTAGATTCTAGATCTAGATTCAGTGTTTTCTGTTAGGGCCTACCTACTTGTACGGTTTTGTCCGTAATTTTTCGATTTTGACACCCCTGTTTCGGAATTAGGCCGCAAATGTTACGCAAAAGCCCACCGTAAACATCAAAATCGATTTAGTGTCGACCTTTTTTTTTTCTTGTGTTAAATTTCCGTGTTATCCGGTTCTATGGTTTCAAACATCTTCAATCATAACAATCGACGCCCCCCGCCCCCCAAATCCCTTCCCGACAATATCTCGGCAGCAGTAGCGTACGCAGGGGGGGAGCAGGGGGAGCGGCCGCTCCCCCTCTGGCCATTTTTAGCAAAGTGGCGCCCTTTTTGGAAACATTTTAAACTCAAAGTTTTAAACATTGATATTTGTTAAAAAATTATATTTGGTCGGCACATTTGAAATGTAAATCTCTGTGAATATTGTTTTTGCAATTACTAGTAAAAGGTGTGTGAGCAATACAGTGATCTAACCCATACCTTCTCAATATGTTGAAAAATTATCTTTAAAGAACACAAAAAGTCAGTAGCTATTTAAAAAGTGCATGATCTGAAATGAGAGACCGATATTTAGTTATATCTAGGCTATTATTACGAATGTTTTACTGCTACATTGAAAAGCTGGATTTTATACAAACTCTGATTTAAAAAAAACTTTCATTATGCTGTAATAATTTAGCATTTATAATGATAATATATTTAATTCTGATTGTAGACAAATTATTTTTGTAAAATCTAATAGTGTTAAGCTACTTTATTAGATTCTAAAGTAATTATTGATTTGTTTTTTATTAATAATAAAATGTGTAGACATATACATATTTATATTAAGATATTGATTATTTCCCCTTTTTCGATAGTCTTAATAGATGTCCCAGGAATTATTATATAATTTTTTTACAAGAATTACGAAACAGATTATGCCGCGTTCATTGTTTTTGGTTGTAGTGTGTTTATATATATATATATATATATATATATATATATATTAGAGTGATACCATTATTTTTTGTTTCGTCGGCCTACATTGTGTGTTTGTTTTTTTTTTTAATTTCTTCAGAGAGCTACTTTAAATTTATTTTACATCATATCGAAGCAATAACATATATAGAAAATATTACAAATTCTGCGCCTTTTTTTGCTATTTCCGCTCCCCCTACAACCAAAACCTGGATACGCCTCTGCTCGGCAGTCGTTGGCTCTATTTATATTGTGAACTTTATTGACCCCGCGAGTGGTCTGTTGTCTCCTGATCGGTGATGTCCGTAAAGAAAAAAATGGAATGTGGCCTAAATCATTAAAATTCTGGTCGCGCATGGAAATTATCTCGATTATAATTAAACCTACATCTAGAACTAATATTTTTTCTTCAAGAAAATAAGCCTTAGGTTTAAATAAAAAAAGAATAGCCTGAACTATGCGAGCGTAGGTTTCTATTTATTTAAATTAAAATTTTCTCGGTGTGGGTAAAACACAAAAGGGCGAAACGTAGCTGCGGAATTACTGGTAAATAGCGAGACATAATTTATCGAATTATTGTGTTCTGTTATTTTAGATGTGCGAGAAGACACGTTTTTACGAACCTAGATCAATCACGGTTCTTTGTGTACCCCACGATAGCAGATGTTTCGGTCACTGCGACCTTAGAAGGTCTTCTAGGTCTATCTCAACTTACGACTTACAGTGACCTCGCAGTATATTAATAATTAATATAGTCGTGGATCTTGATCTAGATTTTTAACTATTAACCAACAAGATTTACTAATACCAATAGGCATATTTATCACGTTCGTTAAAAAAACCAATAGCAAATGACGTAATCGTCAATCTCACGTGCGCTATGGACCAAATACACATTGACCGTATCAGATGGGTGAGGCTGTAGACAGAACTTTTTGATGTCATTCTTGACATGGCTGTCTGGTTATTTATGACGATAGAGGTTGGGGTAAAATTCGCATTAATTACGTGACGTCATCAATGGACTACCGCTAGGCTGTGTAATTAAAAAAAAAAACTAAATCCTAACATTACCAGCTCATTAGCATCGCCGATTGTCTTCTTAAAAAAAGTAAAAAAAAAATTGTATTTATCAAAAGAAAAGAAAAATAATTTGAAGGACTATGACTGTGCTGTTTTCACTCAACTTTACGGGCACTTTTTACCACCTCTCACTTCAAGGTCGCGCTGACCGTAAGACCTACGACACGAGACCACGCGCGAGCACAGTAGTGTCTCACGGTCAAGGCAGTTCTACAAACGCTGTTTATCTAATTTTAACGTGGTTATCTTTAATATTGGGCTTACTGCTAGATTAAAGCGAAAACAAAAACTAGATCTGCATCGTTTTAGGTCATTGAACAAAATATGTAGGTCTGCTATAATTTAGTTACACCATCTAGCAGGGTCTAATTGCTTTTTACTGTGGTAAAACGTCCTTGAAATGTTTAAGAAGCCTCGAATTACCGTGTTTGAGAAAATTGCCGCTGTCACTGCCCCCTCCCATCCGCTTGTAAAAAAAAAATCCGCTTTTCACTTTGTCGGGCGGCTACATCTCTGACATGAGTATTACTAGCGTAGTTACTTGTGAAATTGTTTAAAAAAGATAACTTAATTCTGTTATTCCGCGATATGAACTAACTTAAAACTTACACGATATTTCTTTACGTCATCATGTATATCATAGGTGGGGACATTGGGGTCGTCCATAAATGACGTCACACTCGTAGGGGAGGGGGATCCGTAATCGTGTGACGGTGTGTGATGGGGGGGGGGGGTGGTCAGATCGTGGGACATCACACTTTTGTATTATTAAAAAGCAATGTTAGAAAACGAATTTTAGCATTTTAGAAAACTGTTTTAATAAATTGTAAAAGGAATTGATTAAAATACTCTATTTTGACAGAGTTCAGACAAGATTTTGGGGAAAAAAACCTATTTTAAGAAAAATTGAACTGCAATCAAGGGGGGTGGGGTGTAGGAGGGGTTATAGGCTGAGGTGTGACGTCATTTTAGAGGGCGGGGCCTGGCTTTTTGTGATGTGTGACGGAGGGGGGGGGGGGAGAGGTAATAATCTTTTAAAAAGCGTGAGGTTATTTATGACATTAAGCAGGATAATTTCTACAAGCATAGCTAGTTTTTTTTTTGTTTCTATATGTGTGCAGAGTCCTTTTTAAAGGAATATGTGTGCAGAGTCCTTTTTAAAGGACTATCAGACAGACGAACCAATGCTTCCTTTTATGTATAATGACCTGATTCTGATTATC